TAGCACCCCTTGGTGAAAGTGGTCACGCTGTGATCATCTTAAGACTGAGAGCAGCCCTCCTGTGCCAGGTCGATGCCCCTGCCAGACCCAATGTAAAGGGGCGGATATGTAAACTATTAACCTGGCAGCCTCTTCGGAGGGACTAAACAATCATCCCAGAAGCCTCAGCTGAAGGCTCGCGGAGCTCCTTCACGCAGTTATATGCACGAGCGACGCAATTGTTCATTCCGTGGACTATCCCAAAGAGACGGAAACACCGTCCTTCGTGGACAAACCACGAAATCCGAATCTTGCTACGATGTAAGAAAAAAATTTGGGGTCTTGCCACCCATCTTGGTACACCCGAAGTAGTTGAGCGTTACAACGAGGCCCACAATAAATGTGTCGCTGCTATCCGCCGGTCTCGAATATGCTTTGAAACGCGTCTTGCCCAGGCTGCCTTGTAACATTCGAAGAGGTTATTTTCCTGTATGTATGCAGGAGTAGAACGCAATGTGGTATGCCCGCCCTAATCAGTTGGATATAAAATGACTGTTTGATTGAGCACGACAGGGGAAAGCAGAAGCCATGCCTAGATATTTTACTGGGGTCTTCACACAGGAATCTTCGGTTATTTGACAGTAGTAGCATTGACATCCAACAGAATAAACTCTGTGGATGTCGATTGTGATGGCGTATTTCGGACATTAAGTACTCTCGGTGTGGAAAAATCAACGGGACTGGATGAGTTGCACTAAAGGCTGCTCAAAGAGCTTGCACTCTATGTGGCCGGCCCACCGACTACTATTTCCGGACCGTCTCTCAGTGAAGACACACTCTCCTGTGACTGGAAGGATGTTATAGTAACACCTATCCACAAGGGAGGTTCTAAGCAGCTCCCGTCAAATTACAGACAGATAAGTCTGACTAGTATTGTGGTGGAAATCCTAGAAAGAGTAATCAAGAAAGCTATCATGGTCCACCTAAAGAGCAACGCTCTGTTGTCTTGTTCACAGCGCGGTTTTCACAGACATTTCTCTTGCTTAATGAACCTTCTTAAAGCCATAGAAAGTTGGGTTAAGTCTAAAGATGGTAGGATACCAGCAGATATCATTTTCATTGACTTCAGTAGGGGTTCAACAAAGTACCTCATTCCAGGTTGCTCGAGAAACTGCGCAGTTTTGGAATCACTGGCAGTCTGCTCGCATGGATAAGAGACTTTCTTGTTGGTAGGAGACAAAGAGTTAGGATTAATTCCCAACTCTTCCCCTGGAATTTGGTGCAGAGTGGGGCACTGCAAGTCACAATCCAGGGCCCCCCACTATTTCTCACATAGGTAAATGAGTTGCTAAATGTCACGAAACTTCCCATGATTCTCTATGTTTGTGATGTAAAAATCTGGCGAGAAATCAGGAACGATGGGGGTACACATGAGCTTCAGGCAGACCTGGACAACTTGTTTACCTGGCCAGAGAGGTGAATGAGGCCTGTCAATGCATGTAAATGTGTGAGCATGCACTTGGGGCACACACACAGCAAAGTCCACTATGTTGGTGGGACTCCTCTATCGTCAGTACTGACTCACAATGACCCAGGGGCCACAATGAGTCGTGGATTGAGAGCCATGGCTCACTACCGATTGGTAGCAGCTCGGGATTTTAGAACCCTCTGGTCATCATGTAGAACGTTTACGAAAATAAGTGGTGACAGTCCACCACTTTGTACACATCCTTAAGTCCAAATTAGAAAACTGTAGTCAGGCAGCTAGTCCTTGTCTGAAAGGTGACGCGGACTTTCCCTGCGATGGCTGGCCTCGTCTATGAAGACCGACTTAGGGAGCCGAACCTCTTCACTTTATCCCACCGCAGATAGAGGGGAGACCTAATCATGCTACACAGGATTCTAAGAAACAACCTCGGACTCGGTCTATCTTCTCTTTCCCCTCCCAATAGGTCCAATCACCTTAGAGGACACAGTAGGAGGCCAAAAAAGGGAAGAACGAACATGGTCTACGCGGAGTACTGGCTCTCGCATCGAGGAATCAACGCCCGTAGCCAACTCCCCGAAGAAGCGACGTCCGCGCCATCAATTGACTGTTTTAGAAAGGGATTGGAAAAGCACAGAAATCCACTGGAAAATGATTGATATGGGCTCCCAGCCCCCTGTCCTCAAACAACACATCATCTCTCAGAAGACATAACCGCGCTGCCTCTTATCCTTAAGCAGCGGATCTGAATCTGAATCTCTAATAGACTTCTAAAGCTGTAGACACAGAGTCAACTGTCCACGCTATCCCGCGAGGCGTTGTGTTATGTTACGTCACCTGGTCACAATCATCTAACCGACTAGTACATGCTTGTCGTTATAGTCGAACGATTTATCAGACGTAGGATTCCCGCTTCTCCGCCCAATTGTGTTCCCTCCTGGTCTGATACCAGTGCGCTTTCAGCAAAATTAGGAACTGCCGGTTGCCCCCTCACTTCTTTCAAAGTTGCATGTGGAGAACCATCTAGTTAATTGAACTACCAAGTTATTGCTGCTAAAAAGGCAAGTAAAAATCCACTGAATTATTCGGAGCTGGTATGGTGGGAGGAGATAAGTATCTGACATTTTAAGCCGTGGATTCTTTGAAGAAAATGCCCAAACCAATTTATTTGGAAGTGATACTTCACCTACCTTGAGCTTGAAGCTTGAAATAAGCACCGAAGTAATGCAAATCATGACGAATCATGCGGGAATGCACGCTCAGTAAAGTACAAATATGGTAACTTCGTGCATTCACTGACAGTCAGAATGACAACTAAGTTAACAGGTAGTAAGTTCAGTATTCTGCATTCTACTTTGGGCTTGATTTCATTTTCATATCTAAGAGGCTAACCCTCCAGAATTTCCTGTAAAGGTTAAAGTCCCAATAATGCCGGACTCTCGTAGAGCGGGGCTATTGGCTGACGAAAGGTAAGTTGGCGGCCTGATGGGTTGTATCGCCGACATGGCGTATGTAATAGCACTCCAAATTAACCCTCCCACTATAATTTCCTTTGAAAGAACTGTAAGAACAGACCCTGAGAAATTCACTTTTGCATAACATTGATTAATATCATTTATACTATTCTTAAGTAACTTCCTTGTGCAAACCCTTCTGTCTACCCTCTCATTTTCTGCCAGCATCAAAATATGAAGGATACTAGATGGGAAGGAGGACCCTGGGATAGTCCAAGACGATCTGCGGCGGTTGGAGCACTGCCCGGCTGTTAAAGATTTCAGCCTTGACCTGGAGAAGTGCACGGTAATTTATCTTTGCACACCGGGAGCCATGTAAACCAGCCATAACCTTTACAGGTGTGCGATCACATAGCACGCATACATATGGACCTAAGACGAAAGTTCCCCGACACACTAAATACCGGTACCAACCATAAGGGAAAGATGGCAAAGGTGAGTGTCACTGTACACTTTCTAGGAAGCTAGCTTGGAGCCCAAACCTAGGAACTATTTCTCATCGTATTTAAAACTTACGTTAAACCTCACTTAGACGTGTTCAACACAACAGCCCCTCTTTGCCAGAAAGAGAAGGTAGTACTTTCGTGAGGGTGCATAGAAGTGCAAGTTGCTGGACCAACAAACCAAAAGTATATGCAGTGCCCTAGACAACCCAACCTGTTCTCAATAAACTATCGAACGAAAAGAGACGAACTAATAATAATCCACAAGACCATTCACCAAGTAGACCACCCCAACAGGGAAACACCATCCGTCCAAAACCGGGAGTCTTACAAAGATCTCCCTCGCATATCCCACCACAGGAAAAAGATGACAGCCAGACCCAGCTTTTTCGTCTTTACAGTGTGAGTCTAACAGAGTAGCCAACCAAAATAAGTGGCGAGTCAAATCAGTCGATGCCCTTCAATGACTGCTGGATAGGTAAATCAGAGCAAAGCATTAATCACCGAAACTAACGGTGAGTAATTGAGTATAGGTTTACAAGTCCTTGTATTGTCTTTTAGGATTTGTCCTGGTGCGAACCTGACGGACGCAAAGACCAATCACTAATTATTCGGACTTGTTATATACCCTCGAATACGAGACCAAGGAAGAACTAAATAGCGTAGTCGGATGGAATAGTATATTTGGATGGTTGTGCCAAAATACCGATGCGTTCCAACTAACTGGCTAGAGAGTCGAATACGAGCAGTGCAACGTAACACGACAGCGTGCCAAATGGCGAGGGTGCTTGACCGGGTGCCTTCAGCTTAGCGAGTCCAGTTAAACTATCAAGGTCAGCATCAATGTCGAAAGTCGTCAAACCCTAAGCTATTGATTTCGGGGAAGTGTATGACGCTACAGTCCAATCTTAGCATCTCGAATAAGATCTATCCCCTATCTATTTTATTACTGGTTGCACTTGTTTTCATTCCCTTCTGGCCCTACTTCTCGCACTTTTTATGTAGCGTCTTCCAAACTCAGAACGTATTCCAATAAGACAGACCTAGAACCAAAGGGACCGCCGTCCACTAATTCTGCAACACGAAGATCAAAGTTTGAAGTATAGTTTTCGCTCACATGTACTTGCAAGAACAAGAACCACAAAAGCCTAACTTAGCTTTCACGTTGTTCCTCCTATAAAAAGCCAACCTAAAATTTACAAAGGAGAACCTTCAAACAGACTATCCCTTCCGTGAAAGCGATAAACATATTCAATGTAGAGGCTTCTCAGACTGCCAAAAAGTGTGCCTGATAGAAGATCATCAGACCTAAAAACCTTAAAGCGACAGTTGAATAACTACAGGCTTCCTCTACCTGCACTATCAATGTCTGATTTAGGCTGTCACAGTGTTTCTTCTGGGACATGTAGCTGACAGGACCACTTATAAGAAATGCTTTTTAGGTTGAGAACCATATTTCAGTTATGTGTCGGGTTTTTTTCAAAATATAAAGTGTAAAAATCTGCAAAAGGATTCAGAATACCTTTCCTTAAGGTGTACAATAGTACATAAAATGGGTTGTTCATTGTACAGGTGTCCTTGAAAAAGGCCACGAAAATGCCTTAGCTCCAAGTATTTTAGTGTGGTTCATTCACTGCGTAAGGAGCTTTTCAATAAGGATTAACCGTGAGTTGTTTCGTATTAATGTATGTTTTTAAAGTTACAGTCATTCGTTTTTTCCCGCTGATAATATGGATCAGATGTGATTTTAGGTACTAAATCTCTTTCTGACCTTCCTCTAATGGAGAGAAAATTCACTTGTTTTGGCTACAGTATCGAGTTCTGAGACTGACTGGCATGTTCATATTTCATTTTCATCTTCTCTGCTATTCTTCAAAAGTGGGGCACGTCTCCTGGTGACTTTATACCGTCCTTCTCATTTCGGGGACTGTTAACAGTCCCGAAATTTCGTGATCCTAGGATCCAGCTGTTTCACTTCCTGCGGTGCATTGTTGTTACCTGCACTTCACGTCATCTTCTTCCTTGAAAGCTCTGCATTTGGCTGTTTGTTTCTCTTGGAACTTCGCTCAGTCTGGTTTTTGTTTTTCTCTGACATTCCTGAAATCTTGTCTTCATCTTGTGAGATTATGTCCTGTAAGCTGCGGCCAGGTCTTATTCTCAACTACCAGTCTGGGTCTTTTGCCTCATGTTATAACATTCCAACCAACTAGCTGACCATTCTATGCATTGTTCCTTGCATAGATGTACGATGTACCGACAAGATCACTGACACTTTTGCTTCCCAGTTATCTCTTTACGCCGTCAGCCACTCTTACAGAGTAAGCTTATTATGTTCTGTCAACCAATTCATTTGCAGGCTAAAAGGAGTCACTTTTCAGGCAAGATGTGAACTTTTTTCTCGAAACACCAGTCTTGATCCGTCGGTGTTATCTACGGTGAGCGTAGTTTCCAAACTCCTGTCTAATAGCAGCCTTTCTTACTGCCTTCTTGGGTTCTTGGGGAATCGCAGTGAAGTCTACTCAGTGTACCACCTGCTTTGTCAGCAGTAGCAGGTACTAGTTGCCAGTGGGTGTCTGAGAAAATAGTCCCACGACATCTGCTGACCACAGGTCACGTTTTACTGTTACAGTAATCAACTGCGGTGATGGCCGTACATCCTGATCACTCCTTGCTGTGTTTTGAAACATTATCTCACATTAGGGGCCAATATGAATTTTGCCACAAGTGGTCTGACGTCTTCATAACTGTTACATTCCTGCTGGTGACAGTCACAGATTAACTCGTCGTAGGGACATTGGAATTATAACTTGATAAATTCTGTCATGGTCTCCTGTGAGGAGAGTTTCCAACTTCTTATTCGCTACGGTTTCATCATCCATTCCTTCCGTTCTCTATTGAATTACTGTCCTGACGGTAGGGCCAAACTTCTGATAGCGTTCCGTTGTAGGTGGGTTCTGTTCCTTGCTGCTGATCCCACATTTAATCCACGACAATTCAACCGTTTCATTTGGTCTTGAAAATTAACCCACTACTAGTTTTTCTGCATGGTGCTTTCAGTCATTGAATAGTGTTCCTCCAAGTATAACGTCCATCATGCTATTGGAATACTAGTAATTCCTCATCGACATACAGGGGCAAATTGCTTGACACCTGTTGGTAGGTGGGCTCCTATGTGGATGACTCAATACTTCCGGATATTCATGATGTTATATTCGCCTTAGGGACTCTCAGTGGAATTCAGAATGTGCATCTCGTCCTATTTTGGACTCGTCGGCCGAATGTACCTCGACCTCGGTAGGTGATGTTTCCGCGGAGACTCGAACTCAGTACCCGTCGCTTTAAACGCCAACGTGTTATTCACTAGGCTATTGGAACAGGAATAGAGAAACAACAAAAAAAACGCATTTTCTGGATCCAGCTGCTAGTCACTAAGTAGACTACAATATAATGAATATCTGCGCAATATCGAGGCATGTGCATAGGACTGCATCTGCTAACAAGTTTGAGCAATTCCACCCTGTGTAGCTACGGCACATTACAAGTATCATAACAGCAAACGATAGCGGTTGTACAAGAGGTGACCATCGTGCCTCAGCGGCCTAGTTGATAACACTGGCGTTAGAGGCGATGGATACTGGGCTTGAGTCTCAGCGGGAGCAATATCACTTATAGGGGTTCAGGCACATCCAGCCGGCGAGCCCCACACGGGACGAAACGCGCGTTCTGGATTCCGCTGCTAGTCACCGAGATGAATTCCCATCATGCTAGTTTGTCATGGGGTTCTTGTGCCATCTGAAATCACTTTAGGTGCTTGTGATTCGTTTTAGTGTACAAACGTTGTCCGAAGAGATATTTACTCCATTTTTATGATGCCCGGATTGTGGCTAAACATTCTTTTTCGTCTGTCGAATACGCAACTGCTTCGGTCTGTTGTAAAATGACACAGGTTTCGTAATCAAGAACATCTGTGAAAGACCTTGTTGATATGTAGTTCAGACCCAATACGTAATAAAACTTCTTTCAAGTATTTCAGTTGGTTCTTCTCGGATAAAATGTGCACCATAGGGTTATCACTGTAAACTTCAACGTTATTTAAATTCTTAAGCAATAATGTCATCAATCTCGTAAACGTAAATGGTACCCCTATGAGGCAGAACAGCATTCCTCTAAACTGATATTGTTTCTGCTCCATAGTGAAAGCCGTTTTCTACCTATTACTTTCGTTAATCGTTAATGGCCAGTTGCCTGGTCTTAACTTCAGTAGTGTGAATATCGAATTTCTGTAAGCTTTCTAGTATCTTTGACACAATTGTGATTGGACTTGGTTTCAAATCAATACCTCTCTTTGTCTACTCAAAACCCCCTTAAAACCTGTATTGTCCGTTCGACTTTTCGCTGAGAAAACGGGCGCATTGTATGAGATATTGGCTTCTTCAGTTACTCCATCCTTTAACATTAAAACCTGTCGTTCTGCCTTCTCCTGTAAGTGAAGATAAAGCTGACGGGCTTAAGATGTCATCCATCCGCTATCTATATGCCATTCGGCCACATCATGCTTTTGGGTTTACATCTCCAGTGAATAAAATTTTGTACTTATTATTCAACTTAGTGGTGATGACAGGTGCTTCTGTCTGAAGGAGGTTTCGTTACCCCCACTTTCGATACTTTAATATTTTCGTGTACGGGAAACGACCCACTTATCGTAGTCACCTTTCCATTTTTCGTCGCAGTGACTTCGCCCATCTATCTCAAGAACTCAACCGAATAGTACGGTTTATCGTACGCGAATAGTCACAAAAGATGGGTAGAGAGTATTGTGTCCTATTTCAGTATCACAACTTTATATAGATATTTTCAGCTTCCAAAGCATTTCCGTCTACCGTCTGTATTGATGCCTTTCATGACCTTCTGCATTCTATGATTCCTAAATTTTCACAACTCGGGATAGTTTGTAGATAAATGCCTGATCCTCCAGAAAAGAAAACATGCATATTTTCTATCGCTGTTCGTTTGCAGAACTGCTGTTGTAGGTCTTTAACTTCCTTTCTCAAGGGATCTGCCCCTGTACTTCTACAGCTGCTGCTCTGGTGCACATTAGCTATCGGGAAATGTTATTTAATTGTCCGATATCCATTAGCTAAGCTGTGCTTACAAGCCTAAAATACTAAGCTATGACACCCGGCATGCTGTCCATGAACTACATTGCAAATAGTCCTGCTGCTGAATCGTCATCGATACCGGGTATAACGCAGCTTACAAGGTTCCTGAGTTTCATTGTTAGCACTGACAAGTGTTCATCTGCACCCAACCTCACCCTTCTGCACTTCTGCATAGTCTGTATCTTATTCCCCGGGTTGTCAAACTCCTCTACAAGCCGAACTAAAACTTCTCACAAGTCGTTTCGCCTGATATTCTTCATATTTCCGTACGTTGCCTCGTAGGTCTCTTTCACTCGGCCTATTAGGAGTGCCCCAACACCATCGACATATGCTCCGACTGCCTGGCATCCAACAACACTGCAACCTACTCGAAGTCCACCAGGAAGGTTTTGGCATCTCCATCCTCGAATGCGGGGGCCAAGGGATCTGAACGGTAGTCAGTGATACCAATGAAAGGAGGTTCAATGGAGCAGAAGATGTTGATTATTGAGAAATCGCAGCCAGTAAATATCAACTTGTGGTCTGACATCACTGAGTAAGGACCCAAGTTGCTACACCTCACATTAGAACACCAAGTAAGGAGTTTCTAAGATAAAAGATAAAGAAATCAGTAAGAAAGTAATCAAAAGTGGTAAGAAGTCGTCAAAAGGAAGCAAGGAGGGTTACGTTAATACTAAAATTCTCTATGATGATTAACATGAAGATAATGTGTGGATACATCTGGGCCACTAAGTTCGGTTCTGAGCTATATCACCCAGAGTCTGCAACCTCCGATTTCAGTTGTTATTTAATTGCACAGCTCAGACCAACAGTCAAAAACTTAGTGAGCTAATGTCGTGTTTTGGTTTAGTCACCTTTAACCCCTTTTTCAACCAGAAGCTACTTAAGCTAAGGTTACGTGATGAGTTAGCCGATAACTAGATATATTTGTCACATATCTCAGCCTTTTGAGTCAACGCAGGTCGATATTCTCATCAACTGAATTTCTTCTACTTTCCAAAACTCTACGCCTGACTGCCAAGTTACTGATATGGTAGCACCACAACACGGCAGCCTCCTCATATCCTTAAACTTCGATGGACATGTTTTACCACATAACGGTAGAACAGAGGAAAGTGGACCTCAAAACGCTCGATCCCCAATAGGCAATCAGATGTCATGATGCTGTCACGTGTGGTGAAAGATGGCAAACGCCAGGCTAGCATTTTGCGTCCGTTCATAGTTCTCGCCAGTCTCTGGTTCACCAGGGTTGGTCCGACTTCATAAGTACGTGAAGTGGTCAATGCTTTCAACCACTTCATTCCCGATTGTTAGAGCAAGTACCTATGGTGATGAGAAACGCATCCCAAACATTTTCAAGTAGATACCAAAGGTGTTCAAAAGATTCTTCATCTTGTTAGCTTCGTCGAACAGGATTATGTCATCTGCTTACTCGAGATCTGTTATAGTCTTCTGTTGTCTCCTTTTAAGTCAGGAGGTAGAGAGACCTTCTGAAGTACATCTATGGTAAAATTAAGTAACATTATAGTAGGTACACTGCTTGATGTACACAATTCACCTGGTGTCACCATAGGCTAACATGTCATCCAGTAATTAAGTATAGAGCAGGATAATGCACTAACCTAATACCCCTTTCAGTTGGAGACATTGGCATCGAAATCTATTCACAGACCGTGTGCACCTTCGTGTTGGCATACGTATTGCACGAGGTTTAGTGATACTATTTGATTTTTCAGACTTTGGTAGTTGGGAAAGATTCAATTTTGTGACCTGTCTGTTGGAAGTCGAGTGCTTAGACCAGCGAACCACAGTTCTACAAGACACTCCCACAAGACTTCTTGATGGACAAAGTCGAATGCCTCCTTCAGATCAGAACCTGGCGGTGAGTAGATATCTGGTCGATAAACCTACGACCAAACCTGAAACCCGACTGGTTTTCTCGGGTTAGCTGTTTCTGAGCTGTACTTAAGCGTCGAATGATTTTGAATCCTAGAATCCTAGTCACCATTTTCACCAGACTGATTCCCCTGTGCTGATGTTATTAAGATGTTAGGTCAGCTTACACTGTGGCTACTGCTGATCAAGTATTTAAACCATCGACATGATTACCATTCTCGATGAACTGAACAATTATTTCAGGTTCTCCTTAGTAAAGGGTGATGTAGCCTATTTTTGTTTCGATCAGTTTAAAAATAAGCATTATGCTACTAGGATTTATCAATAAATTAGTCAGCAACTGTCTCCTCAGGAATGAAGGTTTTCCACTAACTCTTAGTAAGAACTGAAAATGATGAAAATAACTAATGGAAACTGTTGACACTAATCACACGAAGAATTATTAAAATAAGACGTTCGGAGTATCCTGGAGTTTCTGGAACTTCATGAAACTATGCTTTTTGTTTAATAATTGAAATTCAACTAAATTTTGAAGTGCATATGTACAGGTCTAGTGAATGTACAAGGTATAAAAAACAGTAGCTTTTACTCAATGCTTACCAACGTGTTTTTATAGGATGTGGGAGGAAATCGCACAAAATTTGTGCAAGAATGTATCCGATACATTTTTGTGGGAACATTTACATAAGCTCTGTAGTGGCTGTCCACATCCAACAGGTAGCAAAGCGAATTATGAATTAGCAGGTAAGTAAAGTTTCATTTTCAGTTTAAATTCTTTGTTTATGCAGTTAATTAAATACTTTTATAGCATTTAGTTTAGGTCAAATGTATCTATGTATATTTTGTCTTTTGACTTTGATGATATCTACGGTTTTATTTATGGCAATAACACTGCCATAATAGGAAAATCTAAATGATCAGATGTATCCGAATAGTGTGCACGCTTATTTCTACTCAAATGTTCAAGTTTAAGTAAATGTATGTACTTCTGCATATGTACTGGAATCTGCTTTCCCTTTAATTACTGGTGCATTTTATGTAGAGTTTCAAAGGGTATACTTTATGTGAAAGTCAATAAACAGTTCATTTGTTCCCTAAATAATTAGTCCACGGGTTTTTGAAGTTACGGGGTGGAAAATATAATATGAATCACTTACTTTACCTCCGAGACCGTGGTTACTTAAAAATATAGAGATTTACAGGTAATCAAGTCATGCTTTTGCGTAAGGTTTACTTTCGTTTTTCACGTAAAAGTTTCATATGTTCATAGTTCCGTATTACTTTAGTAGTAGAGTATTAACCTTTTAAAGATTGGCGAACTGAGGGTGCATAAAATCTTTCCTTTTGACAAACTTATTCTATTCTTTGGATTTCTGATGTAGTGGGTTTCAGTGTTATGTCAACCAACATAATGGTCATAACTAGCTAAAAACTTTATTATGAAAGGATACATTCAGTGTATTACTGCTCGTTATTTAGCGATTGAACTTGGGACATTCATGTCTAGTGATAAACGCGTTAACCATCCAGGTGGAGATCCTGAGTTCGATCCCTGTCCAGGTCGTGGGTGCGTTCTGCTAAGGAATCTAGTACGAGGACGAAACAGCTATGCTTCTGGGTTATCAATTGTATTCCAACTGATGTGATATGATGAAGTATTTATCATATCACATCAGTTGGAGAACAATCTTGAAATATTCTTCCTTGCCACCAATTTAGTTTAAAAATCTTTTCAGAGATCCGACCCAAGCCGCAATCCTTCCGAATCGGTTAATTCAGACTGGACTGTTTTTGTCTGGGGTCCTCAGGACATTAGGGATACAAATTTGGAGATACCAGGTAATACGTTCCAAAATCAAATACAGTGAAACATACATCCACACATCTTATTCTAAATTGTTAGCGTTTTGTTCGTGTGTTTATTTTCCACATACATTTTAATGCAATTAGATTTTCTCTTTCCCTTTTATTACTTAATGTGGCAAACTGAAGTGCAATTTTACATTTTCGTTCTGATCTTTCTATACTTTCATGAAACTTGATATCAAATGTTACTTTACGCAGCTTCTGATCAGCTGTATAGCGTTGTTGACGTATGCATGTTTCTCAACAAGTGCTAACATGTGTTACCGAGTTTCTCTATTTTCGTGTACCAAACGGAAGATGTTCTGACTAAATTATTTACAATATATCCTGAAGATATGGTCTTCACACTACTCGGTTACTAGGAGTGAACTACCTGCAGTTATAGCTCTATGACAAATAAATTTAAATGACCAGACTTAATACTGAACATTGAGCTTGATCGTTACTTCGCTTAGAAATTTCATTGTCTACTCAAAACTTACTGAGGTCAACTGTAAAGTGAATTTTTATCTTGAGGTAATTCAGTATCATCCTTCATTTTAAGGGTTATGTTACCAATCTGATCTTACATAATACGTGAGTAAATACTAAGAATGAAAAAAAAATGCAGAGAAAAGGGCCTTTATTTACTTTTTGTAGCTATTTAATTTTTGGCTAAATTATAGTCACATTAATTGAATTCGTTTTTAATCATAAACTGTAATGCATCAATTCTTATTTGATAAACTTTTTATGGTAACAACAATGCTGTTTAAGCGTCTTGTTATAACTGTTTCATTCGCTGCATGTTTTGTTTTGTAACAGTTGCTTAGTTATTTGTCCGTTTATTTTAACTGCTAATGTAATGACTTTCTGTATGTAACGTTTGAAATAATATGGATATTGTAGGTATGATAGAAACTAGCTGGAAAGAGTGGGGTTGGCCTATTGTTCATCGTCAGGAATTTTCTGTGACTCTGCCTTTAGGACCTCCAGAAAGCGGTTCATGGAATGAGGTACTTCTGACCAGCAGAGATGGCTCTTTAGTCATACACAGAGCTCAAAATAGCGGTAAGTTCGCGTATTTATAAAAATGCATATGCTAAAACCAACACCGTTGTTACTAGCTTCCCTTTTGGTGAAAATAGTGCGTTCTGGATGTGCGTTATGGAATCAGGTATGCATATCAAAAGCTATATAAGCTTCATGTACTGGGTGATGGACCATGCGGTTAGACGTTTGCAACTATTCGGCTGTTCAGATATCACTGGATACAACTGGTTATGGACCGTTTGAAAGTTTAATACCTAAATCACGTAAACTACAACCGCATTAAATCGATGGTGGTAATTAGGGTTTATTCATAGTAAGATTTTGAGTGTTAAGTGTTCATTAGCTTTAGGTTATATATATATATATATATATATATATATATATATATATATATATATATATATATATATATATATGAAATATGATAATGATAAGGTTTTTATCGATATCTTGAGTGAAAACCAAGAAATTGCTTTCGTTTGTGGATATCGTTCGAAGAGAAATTTACGTATTGCTTATTAGATTGTCCCTTGACCATTAGTTCACTGTTTCCTCAACCTTAAAGCAGAAAGCGGCGTTCCTGATGGATTTCAGTTAACATTTGATCGAAAAATTTGTAAATATTAGTTGGTAATTAAATAGGAAGATGTAATATGGATCTTATAACTGTAACTCGCAGAGTATGTGAAAATATAGGGATTCTAGGATTTTGCGTGGTGAACTGTTCTTAAGGAATCCAGAGGGTCAGTTGAAAAGCATGTTATTGTCGGTTACCTGAGGTGGTGCAAATCAGTTTGCTGTTCGGAATGTCCAACTTTTCACTGTAAAAATGCTGAGATTTGTGCAAATTTAATTTGTATCTTAAGATTATGTTGTCCATTGTGTTCTCCATATGTACAAACTCATCTGAGGCGACGTCAAGTTCTGTAGGCAAGTCAATAGTTAGAACACCTAACATCCTGTGGATCACGCTTGACGTTACCGAAGAACAACGTGACAGGCGACTGAATAGCGTAGATTCAGATTGAATAATGTGTTAGTTTAGGTTTGAATACTTTACCAACAACCTAGGTGAACAGCGCAAATAGTGAACCACTTAAAATTTTATCACTCGAACTTAACCTCTCCACTAGTCAACATTTATTACTCATGTTAAATTAGTCCTTAATTTCCCTCACGGTTCTGATCGTCACACAGTAATTCGATGTCTCATTGCTACGTATCATTTTTATTACTCCTTTACTTGCCAAATTAAGTATTTATTATGAAGAGACCTCAGTTGTGGTTCCTTTGAGTATATCGTAATTACGGTAGAACATGAAGATGCACACTATAGTAGGTACGAATGTCTTGGATGAAGTTGAGGGCCAAGACTGAATGAATCAATATAAAAATATATTTCAGCATAATTCCAGAGTATTTAGAAAGTCAAAGGAAAGATATTTCTGAACGTATTGCTGTGTAAGCCACAGCTTCTTCAGCAGAATATACTGATTTTTATTAACATCAAAATATATTGTTAAATGATACATCAAATATTTGATGAACGTAGGTCATTGGTTGGGTAATTAAGGTTGGTCATCACAAGTTCATGCTTGTTAACGTCATCTGTCAACGAATATGTAGGATAGTCAAAGTGTATGTGTTTATGTATGTTGTAGAATATGTGTTGTTCATTGTATTTTTATTTACAAACTGTCAATAGTTGTCATTGTTATTATAGCTTCAATTCGAAAACGTCATCATTAAAGATTTTGTCTCATTAATGTTTGCCAAATAGGTGACAAGTCTATTCCATCGTTTCTGTTTATAGCATTTGATGTTGTTAAAATATTCAAGGACTCGGAAGTTAATCTTTCTTTATACGAATAGAAACTTTTTCCCAGTATGTCTACATTCTCAAAGTCGATCATGTGTCCACTTTCGACTGCATGCATAGCTATTGCTGATTGCTTTTCTAAATTTTTTAATTCCTCTTGATTCCTCGATGGATGTTTCATACACAACTTATGTTCATTCATCCTAGCTTGCTGTTTTATGCGTTTGACCGATAATATTTTTCAAGAACTTTTCCATTAAAACGCATTATTCGGGAGATTTCATTTTCTAAATCATTAGAATCGGTTACGATGTTTTTGTCCCTCTTTAGTAGGTTTAACGCGGCACTAGCCTTTATATTAGTTGGATGATCCTATTGGATGTCTAAATATTTATCAGAATGTGTTGGTTTTCTGTATATCTTCCTACTGAATTTGCCTTCAGTCGTTCTTTGGACAAGACCATCTAAAAAGTTTAGAGTGCCGTCCTTAGATTCTATTTCACTAGTGAATGTAATGGAATCTGAAATAGAATTTATACGTTCTAAACTGTCTGTTGGTTTACTTTCTTAAGGATGACAAACGTGTCATCCACATATCTATGCCAAATTTTGGGTTGACATTGGGCACTTCTTAAGGGTCTATCTTCCAAAGGTTTCATATGGAGATTCGCTACAATTGGAGATGCTGGCGAATCCGTTGCAACTCCATTTGACTGAGAGTGCATTCTATTTCTAAACGTGAAATATGTAGATTCTAAGAAAAACAACTATTTTATAATATCCTCAGTTCAAAGCAGACATTCAGATACCATATCTTGGTTATTACTAATAGTAATTCTTACAATATCTAGGTATAATACTGAAGGGAGAAATTACATCAAAACTTTCCATGATTTCATCCTCTCCTATGGTCATATTCAACTGTTGTTATTGAAATGCTGTACATTTTTAATATTTGAAGAAGTGTCACGTTGAAATGGTTTCATGATTCTCGATAAATATTTAAATAGACTATAGGTTATCGAATTTGTAAAGTCAATAATTGATCTAAGTGGAATCCCCGTTTTGTTGATTTCCGGTCTATCGTAGAATCTAGCGGCTGTCTTCGTCTTACGAGCTAGTGAAAACCATGTTGCATTTCCAAGTTTGAGTTTTATATCCCTCAGTAATTTACATGTTTCAGCTTTCATTTTGCTTAATGTGCTTTGATGTTTGTTGCTTGGGATAAGTTCCAAATGCTGTAGTGCTTTCTTTTCATATTTTTTTCTATTCAGCACGACCTTGACATTGCCTTCATCTGCTTTCGTTATGACCATTGATTTCTTAGATATTAAAGTTTTAAAGCTGCTCTTTATGCTTTCTATAAGTTAGAGGGAAACAGGCTTCTGATTTGCTATGATAGTTCCCACTTTATGACGTATTGTATGTGCTTTTTTTCGGTATAAGGGATAAAACTGGTTCCATAATTGGGGCTAATTCCATCGCTTTTAGAGGCTTTCTAGATAAATCAAAATTGAGCCCTTTCTTCAGTAATATCGTTTTGTTCTCATTTAGTTGCTTGCCCACATATGTCTGTATTTCTCTGGCCATAGGAAACAGACATCGGTGAAGCCTCTGTCTGTTGGAGTGGAGGATGGAAAGGCTAGATATGTATTTTGGAGAGGAGATGGCGAAGAGTTTATGTGAAGAAGGCAGCGATTCTGTCTGTGAAGAAGCTAGGGGTGATATTCAGTTTAGTGGAGAAACAGCAGTAGAGACATTAGCTATTCCACATCGAAAGGTCAGCGAAAGACAATGGATTTGGGAAATCTTATCTGAAATAACTGGTGCGAAATTGCGTATTCCATCTGACCGTAACCTCAATAAGGATTGAAATGAGACCAAATGCAAGCGTTTTCTCAATGATTTCGAGCGAAAGGGATGGAGAAGGCATCAATGGTAAGTAGTATTCGGCAATAATGTTGATTTATTGAAGTAACTGAAAAGAGAAAGACAATAGTCAGTGAAAGCTTCGCCGGAAGAAAGTGAATCTTTGATAATTTCTGAGGAGAGGTGGCTAGAACATTCGGTGGAACACTTTGAAACGCAGTTTAAGTGGCCTATGCGGTTGCTATTCATTGTAACCTTTATGAATTAGCTGTTTCTCTCATAGCTTTAGTGATCTTTCTCTGTTGAAATTTTCTGTTTTTTGCGATTAAAATCATTTTGGATACATTCTTAATGCATAGTTGCTGTCCCATTTACATCTGGAGACTGCATTCAACCTCCAAACGTTATAGATCCAAAGAATGACCGTTTACCAGTCTACCAAGCCTATTCCTGTCCAGGTGAAGTATTTGGGCATTTTGTTTTCGTGAATTATGCAAATCGTAAGGATTTGTTAGAGTTTGATAAACTGCAAAGTCGGGAGAAAGGCCAACCCAGCAAACTATGCGATAACAACATAATTGCAATTGCTAGACTTGGTAGTGGAACTCGACAATACAAGTTGAAAAATCTTATGGAACATTGTGATTGCGGTGATGGTAATACCCCACTTCCTGACCATCATCCTGGGGCTCTCATACTTTATCCTGATCCAAGTGACTTCTCAGAAGACCATTCTATTTATCCAAATGGAAATGGACTGCCAGGAGATGCACCTGTATTCGGTCATATCAATATGAAACATGATGGTGGTGGTGATCCGACTTGTACTGGCTTGCCATCACTTCGTAAGCTGCCTTTTTGAGTGCTTTAGAATTTAATAATTTACTAGATATTTCTTCGCCATGAGCATGCCACCAATACTACTCCAATTTTTACTTTCATGCAAAATATTTTTTATGACGAGCTGGATTGCTTGGATAAACCTCGGTACTGAATCGGTACGCTCCATCAAATGTATCAAGTGCACTTTACTTGGGCGGTTTCAGTTTAGCATACTAAAATAAATAAAATTGATAAACATTTCATATTATTTCTCAACGTTTCCATCTTGCCAAGAAGACGCTTTCCAAGGGTATAAATCTGATGTTAAAATGAAAGCTAAACATTAGGTTCATACTCTTAAAAAGAATCTTTCTATCAAGGTCGAAAGCTTGAGAATAATATAAGCTATCTGCCGTTTTTATTTGCCCCAATATACTGCTGGAGTGTTAGAGTAAAACTTGGGCGCTGTTGTGGAGTCTAGTTCTGTATTAGATCGTTTATTTAGTAGATCATACAGTGACTCAATTATTTACTGGATGACGTTTCGGGGAGAATGAGAGTAAGATAAATTATCAATGTGAACATGGGCGATAAATTCTCCTCAAAATGTCATCCAGTAAATAATGCATTATCACTGTATGCTATATCAAATAAACAATCTGATCCAGAATTATACTTCGCCAAGATTATGCAAGTAGAATGCACTTTATACAGTGAATAGTTGATATCGTGTATCGGCTTTGTTCTAGGTTTGTTTGTAGATTCGTGGACAGCACCTTAAAGATGCATAGTATCCTTTGGAATTTAGCTTGGGAAGGTTTTTTGAAAAATACTTGACATTACGTCAGCGATCAAACTTATGAGTGTATACAACCTATTTTACTGGAGACACTAGGCCATTTGTTACAACTAATTTGATTTCTCTGTTTTATGTGTTCTTGTAAACCATATTTACGTCGTTAAAATTTTTAATCTTAATGTTATTGTGATATACATCTTCCTGATGGTTATCCTATATGCAGAATGATTTGTACATTAGTTTAGGCGTTGTTTAAATATCGTTTTAAATTGCACAGGTCTGTTACTAAAGATTTGTAGAGTGAGTTTCTTGTTACAAGCTCGAAATATTGCATAATAAATTGAAATAGTTGTATGGACGACATACCTCTCAAAAGTTATATTCCTGTGTGCATTCTGAAACAAGAAACACATTTCTTCAGGTAGTCAGAGCACTGTAGCCTAACTTTCTATTATTAGCTTGGCCTTATCTTAAACCAACATGTTGCATTGGTATGAAATCCACTTCTATTGTTTGATCACCTTATTGTGAATATTTATTTATAGAACATCCATGAGATAAATATATTATTAGGTCGTTTTTATTCGTCTACTTATATTCAAGAAGATAACTCACCTTACTATTTTACCGTTTAACTGTATAGCTTTATGATCATCAGTTAGTGTGTGTTGTGGTATAAAAAACAGTAATTTAGGATCGTTAGTTGGCTTATCATCTGTGCAGATATAGCTTACTGACGCAACAATTCGATTTTAGAGCAGTTATCCATGAACTGAAATTCCGCTCCGATTGTTTTGGTATAATGTTATAAGACTTCACATGTCGATTTCGGTCCATAGCCTACTATACCAATCTATGTGAAGTTTAGCCGCATAAAATGACAATGACACAGTGCGACACAAGATGCACAAGTGCATAGATGCTAAGTCATGAGCCACACTTAATGTTTGACAAATTTCAATACTACCCGCTTGCCTAGGCCTAGATAGGTGGAGCGGAACACATCTTGTACTCATTATCTGAAAGTTAATGATTCACGTCTTCAAAAATCAATATACTTAGAAAAAGTAGTTTTATTTAAGACAGTGTTTTTCATTTCAGCTCATATTTATCGAACAGACGCATTGGTACCAGGTGAGGCCCTCACTCAGATCCCCGTTCAGCCAATTGGTTATGATGATGCCAAAGTACTTTTGTCATACTTAGAGGGACCGAATGTTCCTAGTGGTTGGGAAACAAGTCTAGCAACTCATGTAGGACCGTCATCTGAAAGGTATGTATTTCAGAATCTGCTTTGTGTTTAGCTGTTTTCTTTTATGAACATAGTATGATGCTACTGTGGTTGATTGCATTGTAACCTACTTCATACTACTTATCTCATTAATCATTCCGTCTTAAATATTTCATTGTTTTCAGTACAAAATGATAGGGTGTTGGAATCTTACGTGTAACATAACTTATATAGGCTGTAGATACTCTCGGGAGATTTTTGGAAACTGAAATAGAACGTAGGTTCACAATGTATTGAATTATTCCAAGCACGACATCTCAAAAATGCTCGTAAAACGCTATTCCTAAATTTAGGACTTGAAGAATAAAGTTTGCTTTGTCATTTCATTACATAAAGAAAATCGTAACAACCTTTTTTTTAGGAAATCGAATGTCATTTCTCATTATGTTTGCTTTTAATATTGTGATGTATATGATGCATATGAATAGGGAACTTAATAATTTATAGCGTAAACGAAGAGTTGCGTCCTAGTCACACTTGCAAACAAGATGCTTTAAAATTTTCTTACAGCTGTTTAAAAGTAACTGTAAACAACCAAGTCTCTGCAAATCCAATAAAGTTATGCAATGTGATAGGTGTTATGCCTGGAGACAGCACATCTAGTATGAATGAATCAGATCAATATGTAATTATGGGTAATCATCATGACGCTTGGGTGCAAGGTGCATGTGATCCGGGATCAGGAACGGTGATTTTGCAGCAAATTGCTCGAATTCTGGGTGAAGCTTATCGTGACGGTAAGTCAGCCTATTTTAATGTATGTAATACAAACCAATTTACCATTAACTGAAAGTTACCAATAACTAGTACACAGTCATTACTAGAAAAAGGTGTATGCTCTGAAATTCTTTATATTACTTTTATAAATTGGGGGTATAATGAGATATAACCTTTGAAAAGATTACTTTTCAGATTTTCAGGGAAATCTATGTGAAATATAGCAATTTCAGTTTCAGTAAGGCATTTTCCGCTCAATAAGAAATATATTAATATTATATATATATATATATATATATATATATATATATAATATTAATATTATAAATATATTACTTTCAGCTGAAGCTGTAGTGATGAAGTGTCTAATGATCCTGTCATCTACTGTTGTTGTACTTTAAGAGTGATTTATATCAGATAAACCTGTAAAAAAGATAATCTTCTGTGTGTAAGTGTGATTAAGCGTTAACGTTTTAGTTATCAGGATGAATAATAGCTGGTTTGAATTGCAATAAACAACTATCATACTTACTAACACTCTTTTTTGAAGGCAAGTCGGTCGAAAAAGTTGTAAAATTTCAAAGACTGAGGATTGGGTTGACAGCAGGCTCAATTTGACCAGACCAAGATGCGGCCTTAGTTTATGAAGTCTCTGACTGTTTGTTTGGGCTTTTCAGGGAGGTGTAGACTGCCGAATGGATTTCTATTGAGCTAATAGAAATAAATGTTTGGAGATCTTTGATGATATGACAGATATCGTGGATGTATTCACTCTTTGATGTCTTCTAAAGTTAAAACATTCTCGCTAACCTTGATTTCATAATTCTTTCTCTTTTCGTACACTACCCATTTTTTCTTTGCACGCCGCTATGATTTGTGGCAATTTGATGTGACGCACTTATGTACCAGGTTCTACGTTGATTTATCTGTCTGTCTCTAACGAATTTCTGGTTAATGCAGCAGTTTAAAGAAAAAATAAGTGTTTTTATAGTTCACGTCAAATTTGTATTTGGTTGTAAAAAAGCTCAAAAAATAGTGTAAGGGAAAATATTTGGTAGCCTAGTTATTCCTTCAGGATAAGATGATTTCACATTGTAAGTCATCCAAGATACTTAGTAAATACTGTGTGGTGGAACTAACACACTAGGAAACTGAGGTGCAACGGCGAGTATCCATTGGACAATATGTCTCAATATCCAAGAATGTTATTTAGCCGAAGTCATCAGAGCATAGAAACTTGGTTTTGTGCTTGTTGACACTCGTCAGCAAGCCATACTTGCAACTTCACGGGAACTGATATCTCCTGAGATATACGAACTCACATCACTCAGCGCCACTACCACTGATCTCTTCGGACAGACGTTGGCCGCCTGTAGGATTGGATTAGATACACTGCTTAGTCGGTGAAGAGCAAACAAATTCATGTTATCTAGTCCAAAGTATCTTTACCTGTCCAGTTAAATTCATTTGACTTCTCTTTCTTCCAATTTGACTGATTTCTTTTATCATGTGAGTTGAGTACGGTTGTATTTAAAAACTGTCAGTAAAATTAGGAATAAAAAACAAAGCAAAGATTATGAAGACTGCTCTATCCCTAGTGCATAAATATTTGTTACAAATTTTGTTTTCGAAGAACAATATACCTACTGTATTTGCTGTACAACATTTTTCTTGTATGCTCAAGTAAAAGCGAACAAATAAAAAGATTGACTTAGGTCACCATCGGTTTTCCTACTTTCGAAAGTTATGTAAAGGCAAATAAAGCACATAGTTCTTAAATAAATGTGTCTTATTGAGGAATGTAGATGGTTTCAAACATTCCTCTGTATACTAAAACATGGCTAGAAATTTCTCAAAATGCAGCAGGAGGCTTAATTACCTGCTTGACATGAGGAGACCACTTAAGTCTTTCTCGTATATTTGTGTTGTGAAAAAATTCTGTTGACTCATGTACACTTTTACTCTGAAAATTATTTTGCAGTTAGTGGAATCGTATAAAAATTTGTTGTTCATAAGTTTTTGAAAAATACACTTATCGAAGTCTCGGAAACTGACACAAGTTTTGGATGCATTGTATTATAAAACTATTTTATTAGTGAACTCAGTTTGGTTCCACTGAGGACAGTGAGACTTATACTTGTTTGTTTATTCACGGTTTGTACTATCTGACTGCATAAAGCTACTTGTAACGTAGTATACCTTGTTTACTTTCGAATAATTCTTACATACGGAACACTAGGCAGTTCTGTCTCCTGATACGAAAACTTTAACCGGCTTGGTTCGAGAACGTGAAGTCGGTTTAATGAAACGTTCCATCTATTGGTTCTATTGGTTCGTCAATATCAACATAAAACCGTCTCATTCACTACACCTTGCATCAACAAAAGAAGGCACAAGACTGTAAGATGAAAACTAGAGAATTAAAAAGTCACCAAAGGTCGTAGAAATTTATGACAATAAAGGGGAGGGTGTTATGCAAATAACGAAGCATAATATGACGAATGGAAAGAAGATAATATGAGGATATCTTTTCTCCACTGCGATTGATTCTGCACCAGCTGTGATGATGTGACATTCGCATTTGAGTAAAGACTATGTCGAGTCCAGTTTTCTCTACTTATCACCGATGTTTTCATCTAACAGAGGTGTCTCATCTGTATTCTTTTCGTCAGATAAAGTATCTCATACTAGTTCAATTCCTGTAGATCCCTTTGACGATATCGATACCTCCATAAGCACGTTTATGACAAACTGTGTAAAAATTGAGATAAAGGATATCTTGGGTGGACTCTCCTCGATGTAAGCAACTCACTTGATAACTCAGCATAGGTTTTAATGCGCCCAAAAGTGTTCGAATATAGGACTATAAATAAGGTGATCTAGTTACTAGGCCCTCAGTGCTGAGACACTTTCATAGGACCGTCTGGTCGGTGGAGTTTAGAGACGCCTTCAAGTCAAGAAATATATCTGGTGTCGGGCACCGGTCAGTGTAGTTGTCCTCCAAGATTAGACGACGGGTGAAGATCTGGTATTTGGGTTTATGACTTTTCTAAATTTGCTGTTCTCAAGCTTTAGTGTAGCATCTGATTATTATAGAGCCAAGAGTTGTTGATAATTCCTCTTTGCTTACCGTGGTAGAATTTAATTCCATATTAGATTTGTTTACATGATTTATAACACACAATAAGTAATACTATATCACTCTGTGTTATAAATCAAATAAACAAATCTAATGTGAAAGTACCTTAAATGGATTTATCTTCTTTATTGTGAACTAGGACCATAAGTGGTTGTGGTCTGTCGCAGATCATATTTAATTTTCCTATGCGCCAGCTAATAATCCAATCAGTCTAACTAATAATCCTTGGCCGTTGTCATGAAATATCTTTAGCGCAAGGCGATTGGGGTCTGCTGCCGTTCCTCGGTTGAGGTTACTAACAGCTTTCTTAACTTTTGCTAGAGTTGTGCTCTCCACTTCAATCTCCCACTCAGGATACGGCTGAGTAGTGAAGAAGGGAAGAGTAGTATGAAGTTAGTTGAAGCGTTTTTAAAGAGTCCTTCTCATCGTTTCAGGCGTCTCTCCTAAGAGTGAATCTCAAACTCATCTATTTTTGCTGTACCTTCAGTAACCGATGCCTTTTCTATTGGAGTTTGCTTAATAAGTCTTACGGTCAGATAAGAAGCTCACTAAAATACTCAAACAAGCATAAGGTAGTTCAGTGAAGAAGACATTTTTCCCACGAATCATTTACAGTAGTTTTACAATCGTATTTACAGTTATAACCAACTACTAAGTCCATTTTTGCCTAATAGATCGACATGGTCGTTAAAAAGGAATGTTTTAGGACTACATAGTCAATGATTTTTAGAGTTCAAAAAGGTTGTGTAATCATAAGGTGCATAAGAATAATATGTTGATCGGGGTGACGACATAGGTTTTATAAAAGTTATGATACTAATTGTAATCAGTAATAGAAGTAAAATATGACGAGTTTTTATGTGATATTGGAAAAAATACACACAGAGAAAAATAATTCATTATGTAAAAGCAATAAAAATAATCAGTCAATAAGAGTAAGATGAATATTGAAACAATGAAGAAAATCAAAGAAAGATTATGACGAGAACGAAAAAAGATTGAAATTACCTCGAGTTTTGATTTTTGGATAGCCAATGGCTCTGCTTTACTTAAGTGATAACTCCGCACTCTTTTAGAGCCTTTTGGTTTGGATTTGTATAGAGTTTCAAAAGACTATGGGAAAGCGAGATGATCAGACTTGATCAAATGGTATAGGTACTTGAACTGCGTTCTCCTCTGGGCAGTGAAGCCTGAAAACGCTCGAAGATGCGTTTGGAAAGATTGCGTTTTGTTTGGTCTGCATAACCACCTCCAAACGAACTGCTAAATGGATAGACATATGTATGTGGCACAAAGTGGCAGCCTATCTTTCAAGTCTTCTTGAAACAACCATCGGGTTGAGAAGATAGTTCGCAATTCGGCAGCATAGAATGTTTTCCTGTTTGCTTGAGAAAGGCCATTCTTCAGTAGTTCTGCTGCGTTATCCCTTTTGAGTTCAATATTCATGAATAATATCTTTGTAGGAAGAGTAGTAACTCGTTCTTATCGATGTTTTTCTTTCATATTTTTTTGCAGTGAATCTTGGGGACTAGCCGCCCTGAAAAATTTCTGTCCTAAGGTACTCCACTTCTTTTTCTATTGTATCATCTGTGCAAATTCTTTTCATCCTCGTCCAGAACGAATTGATTAGGTTTCTTTTTCGGCTCGGCGGTACCCAACTTTGGAAACGGGTGTATTGTTTATTTCAGTCTGTTTTCCTCTAGATCAGTTAAACTTTCTAAAGAGTCATCAGGTCTCAGGTCTTCAACGACATCAAAAAAAAGAAATTCCAAGTTTTCCTAAATTTCCATTGTGAAATTAACCAACGGGATAATAGTCACATATCTACCGAGGTACACAAACTTCTCTGGAACTTCCAGCGATACTCCAGCAATTTTGGGTGCAGGTGCAGGCTACTGCCAGTGTTGTAGACCCGCCCAACACTTTGACAAAGTGAAGCGAGTAACATACACTGATTTAGTGTAATTCGAGTAGTTTGTGCGTAGCGACACAGTAAAGTGATGTTTTTCACGTACTCGAAGTCGAAAAGTCACCTAGTAACAGGTCTGCACTGCTCCCACACAATTCTTTCAAAGTTTTTCGACAGCAAAGTTAAAGAGGAATGACGTAACCAAAGAGCCTTGCCTAGCCTAATTGTTGGTCTGGAGAAATAGTGATAGGTGGTTGTAAGCCTTCAACTTACCTGAGGTGTTGAAGTACATGGCTTTCAGGACGTTAACAAACCTGTCAATGACATTCTTTGGCGGACAATCCAAAAGTATAACCCTATCCAACGATTGGAAGGGAGCCATGTTATTGTGGAATACTGCGTCCATTGACCTGCAATGCATAAAATGACTTACGAGTATTCTGTGGCTGTGTGTTGGGGAGATGACTACCAACCATTGGGTCGTGGGTTCGAGTCTGGATCACCTACCGAGGTTAGGGTGGTCAGGTAGCATCACTTGCCCTCAGACAGTAGGTGTGGTTCATTGCCTGCTGCACGAATGTTCACAAGGTAGCTAGCTGAGTGCGTTGCGTGCATTTCGAGTATCCTGTAGAGGGTGAAAATATGGTCTATACATCCTAATGGAAATCCAACCGGATTCTCGTGGATCAGATTCGCCCTCGTTTTGCGCACCTTGTGAAGTATAATAACAGTCAACACTTTGGACAATAATGGTAGCAGACTGATACTCTTGTGATTACATTGCTTAGGCCACTCTTACGGTCGGTACAACAACAGGTCCATTCCAGATTGACGGAACATCCAGTCTGCCATACTCTCTTAAACAATATGATAAATTCCCAAACTGTAGTCCAACTTCTATCCCTAAAAGTAACCGAGGATAAATGTCTAGGCCCGTTGCCTAATTGGGCTTCAGAACTTGAAGTTTTTTCGAACCTCCATTTTGTTGGACGAATCGGTGTCGTCGTACCGTGGAGCACAAGACACTGAGGTCGATGTTGCTGCAGCAGCAGCCAGCTGAACTGGTCTTCCGAGAGCTCCACCCAGCATTCTAGGCGTCTATGAAGGTTTTCAATCGAAATACCACCCGTTTCACACACTATTTCACTGCTACCAGGTTTCTTGCTGCTGGTGGCTACGATTATTTGGACCACCCTTTTAATGTCACCAGATGCAGCAGCTGCTTTGTTTTCACTGCCAGGCTTCATGGTCTGTACGCAACTACTGTTCGGTCTTTCTCATAAGCGACTGGTGCACACATCTGTACTCCTTATCTGGCGAAATACTGCGACGAATATCAAAAGATTTCAAGGAGTTTGCAGAGATCTGGTATTTGTTGACCGAACGTTTTCACAGGCCATAAGCAGTTTTACTAACCCTTTTCGTGGCGTCTTGTGAGTGCAGTCAGCGCTCATCGATACTTTCTGGAGGTTATCAAGATAGTATTGAATGTAATTTAGTTTTCGATATTTTTAGTTACAGTGCCATGTGCAACCACTCTTCTTACGCTGACATATTTCGAGCGAGGATTTGCACGACCGCGAAAATGTACGATGAACTTAGCATACACAAGCGTGTGGGATAAGTTCAGAAAATAACTCCAAAGGGAGCAGGGGTTCTGAGTTTAATTCCATTTTAGTCTTCTTATTGGATGTATTACATAGTATTATCTAATGGATAACGTTTCAGACATGACCTATTGTCCATATCCATATCAGGATTTGGACAGAACAGGGGAAATAAATTATGTCCGAAATATTCAGTGAATAAGACTGTTTTACTATGTGACACATCTAATGAGCAGACTAAAATGGGATTGCAATCCAACACAGTGTCGAAAATTTACTCTTACATTTTTCGTGAATACATCTACGCCATCGATAGCTGAGTAAAATATTTATTTGAGTGATAGATGGAGGACGTCTGGTGACACAATGGCGATGGCTGCGCCGAAAGTTGATATTAGCTAGAAGCGGGTTGTGATTTGCGCAGATCTGCAGAAGGCGTTCCCTATTCTCTGACCTACCTTCGAAATATTCCCACTGACCACCCAAACAATCTTCCTCTCAGCCTAGATGCCCAACCTGTGAATTCAAGTTTTCAGCTGGAACTATAATATCTGCCGAATGCCGCTGAAAGGGAAGGCGACTCAGTTGGCAGGTAGAGAAGATGAAGAGATATCTTTCTTTCAAAGTCGTTCACTCGTCTTTGTGTTTTGGTCTTTAAAATATAGGTAAGTAAAGTGTCTTTTTAGAGTCCTGGTCAAAACCTTCTGTTTTTGATCTACACCGAAGTGCAAACTTTGAAATTAGCCAGCTTAAGCGGTGCACGTGGTTTCAGAAAATTTGTCTCAGATATCGCACTGAACAATTTCCTGACAGCAACCGTTTGGCGACTAAAGATGATGCAAACAGCCCAGGATTTTTGTCAGTGACAAGCAGCTGACTGAAACAAAGATACATAGGTAGACGATGAAGAGAATTCATTGTTAAGAATATTTTTCGTTCTTGTTGACTTTTAATTCATGATATAGACGTCTTTAGCATGTTTGTAAGGAGATAAACTCTGGAGTTGGTATTTTTTTATAGTTAGACCGTTACAAGGGTTTGGCGAAAGTGTTTTTGGACAGTGGGATTTGATATATGCTTTGTCGCAGTTTCTCGTCCATTAACTTGTGTTCCTATGTGATTTTTTTTGTTTTTTTATTACTTTTTGCAAAGGTTTTCGACCTCGTCGTACCATAATTCTTGGTTCTTGGGATGGGGAAGAACTTTCCCTTTTGGGTTCAACACATTTCGTACATACTTTTGAATGTGAACTGTTATCCAGATCTATTGTTTATATCAACTCAGATTGTCCAGTAAAAGGTCATAAAGTATTTTCTGCTCGAACTGACGAGTTGCTTGTGGATGGTATTTTTAAAGCTGCCAAATTGGTGCAAGTTGATCCGCCAGTAAATATTCAGTCACTTTATGACGAATGGTTAAATCATCAGAATAATAATGTTAATGAACCAAAGTAAGCTTCATATAATATTTTACTGTAGTAAATTGCATTGTAATTTTATTTGTGTTATCTGTTCTGAAAAGACAGTTATGAAAAACCTAAGCGAAATTACTCTTAAGCATTCCTTCTTCAAACTTGTGTAAAGTGAATCCTGCGTTTTTCAGGCAAGTGTTGAAATTCTTTTAGTTTCTAAGTAACTGACTGACTGACAGAATCAATTCAGAGCCTCGCACACAAGTGAATTGGCTCTAGTTGCCATATTTCCCTATGGTACACAAAGAACAGGGGAAAGGAGGATATCAAAGTAAATGAAGTTGTGTATGACAATGAACAATATAAAGATTATGGTTGGTGCAAATATTCAAGCTTTAGACGATGTATAGGAGTAAATACATCTGCGCCATTGTGACCGATTTCCAACCATGTCACCACGAGTCCTCAACTACTGATCCTTTTCGTCTCTCAAACTTCAACTAGGCAGTTCACATTTCCCCATAAGACTCAGGCCAATAGTCAGAAAGTTTATCGACTGGTATTAGACCTTGGTCTGACCAACCTAAACCCTCTCCTAACCTAATCCACCTTCCCCTAGCATGGCAACGTATCAAAGTTACATTAAATAAGTAATTTTGGTTGTGAACTTCTGATGGAAATCTCCGAAAGGAAATGATATATAAATCCACTCCAGTTATTTTTTTCTTTATTCAAGTATTTTTTCTGCTGATTACTGTGGCTGGTAGGACCAGTCCTCTCAGAAATTATTATTAACAATTAATTAAGATGTCTGTAGGTCGTTGTTTCCAATCTTGTTCCGACCTAGATTCTTATTTCACCTTCATGCATCTTTCAGCAAGCATAACATCAGTCTGCTAAACTATGGCTATCTCAAATAGTCTCAGTGATAAATTATATGCAATGCAGAGTCTCTAATAATATTCAGTGGTCGCAATATAATCGATAATTTTGACTGGTATCTTTGTAGGGTATCATCTCTTGGTGGAGGATCTGATCATATACCCTTTGCTTATCGTTTGGGGATTCCATCTACATATCCAGAATTTCTCCCAGTAAGCTGATTTATTCTTCATGGTTGAGTGTTTTTAGGTTACATGTGTAAGTTTGATGTTATTCATGAAAATTCGAGTGTCACTTAATGGTCGAATATTTATTCCTGTTTTTAATGACATTTGATTAAATTCGATTTTTGATGGCGCTCTAAGAACTCTTATTTTTGTTTTTGTGTGGTATGCAACAGAAATATTATATTCTGCAAGATCAAACTTGGTAAACTAAGAATTGTAATATGGCTGAAATTAAACATACTGAATTCGTTTATGTGAGAATGGAGCAAAAGCAGGGGCCGAGAACGTTAGTTTTTGGTATAATTGAACAGATATTTTTCTACTTATTCAATAGAGATTGTGATTGACTTATTGGATAAAAACTAAATGGTTGAGTCAATAATTGTAATGCTATGTTGTACAGTTTATCAGTGCTGACAGCAGAATTTCCAGTTTTGTTTTAGTACTGTTTTACGACTGGATATGACATATGAATTTCAAAATTTGTCAACATTTGTTGATGTTTTGGTTGTGGGCCAAATAGCTACTCTAGTTTTGATAACTATAGACAGTGCTTCATTGGGTATCCTCACTTTTACTGGTCATAATCCTTTGACTTTGTACAAATTTCAACAATTTTAATCTTTTCTCTCTATCAATTATCAGTGTTTTTCTCCAGTGATGTATGTTTATGCTAATGGCGTAATCATGAAAGTGTGCTGAGTTTTTTCAACTTACAAATAGCTTGCTTTAGTTCTGCGTTTGAAGTGACATCTGTCAAGTCACAAATTTAACTATCTTTCTTGTCTCCTCTTTTCACAAATATGTAACTGAACAAAAGAGTGATGTCTAAAAACCCAGATTATTTCAGTTTCATTGAGTGATGTGTTTTGGTATAGAAGCGTACAAAAGCCATACCTACTTATCAAATTTAGGACTACGACAGTAATCATCCTACAGTCCATAAGAAATACTCTTCTGCACTGAAGCACTAGGGAAATCTGAAGAAAAATACCTATGCGGGTCCCCGAAGCCAATGATTATCCACCCAACTTTATCAAAAAATGTTTATCAGCAGGACAAAAGACAGAGTAGTTACCTCAAATCTATTCTTGCTTTACGTTATCCTACATCTGAGATATTCCAGAATCAGTCACCAGATTGCTTCATCCGTTGGGAATCGGATTAACCCACAAACTAACAAAACCACTACACACCATGTTGTGCAGAGGGAAAGATCCGTTGCCAACAGAAGATAAAACAAATATAATCTGCAACTCTACTGCAAAGATTGTTCACAACAGTGTTGGCAGGTTTAGCCATCAGATAGCTCAAAGAATTCCTGAACACAGACTAGCAGTAAAGTGACATGACGCAGCCTCGTTGGTTCTAATGCATGCCGACAATTACAATCACAAATTCGACTGAGGGGATGTGAAAATCCTCCAATCAGCAGGTTCAGAAAATGCAAGGGAATTCCAAGAAGCATGGCCTTCATACGAAAAGTCGGTCAACAGACATGCATATATAGACCCAATCTATAATCTACTTAGAAAAAACAAACAAAAACAGCCATCTATCAACCAGGAGCAAATCGAATAAAAAAAATCAATAATTATGCACAGTGTGACAGCAACAAACAACACAGTTTCACTGAAACAAAGATAATCTACCAGTGTGACTGAAAGAAATTTAAGGTCAAAGAGGCCAAGGTAAAGAAAATCTCTTCCCCAAAATAGAATTTGACAACACCCCAGGTCAATAAAAGCACTATCTCAACATTCGTATAGGAATCTAATATCCTTCACTTCTTTATGAAGTTAGTGCTGAAAATGTTACCAAGCCTTTAATAAAACGTTCATGACAAACAATCAAACTGAGGGGGCATCATATCACCATCAGAGTACTAAATCTTTTAGTGTAACCAATTTTTTCATTATTGTCATAGCCTACTATACCTAGGAATAACTGTTTCAGTGTTAATTGTTGGAAACGATACTGCGTATTTTCAGTACATTTTGAATCACCAAATACTCAATATTATCATTATTATTTGTCGCTTGGGTTCCTAGTGGAACATTAGGGCTTCAGTAGCACGTCACCATTTCACTCTATTCTCTGCAGTCCTATTCATCTCGCTCCACAACTGCCCACAAGCTTTCATTTCTTCCTCACACCATCTCCATGTCACCCTCATTTGGGACGCGCAACTTGTCGTTTCCCCTTTTAGGCTCCACTCGCGGGCCTGACCTGGTGCGTGTTGTCGCCGAATTGTTTTCTCAGTGTATGTCCAGTCCATCTCCACTTCCTTCTGAATACTTGTTGGATGATAGGTTCTTGGTTGGTTCGTTGCCAGCCAGCCAGAGTTCCTTGTTGCTTATTCTTTCTGGCCATGTAATCTTCAGCATCGAGGGAGCGTAGGTGGGAGCTGTTGATGTATGTCTGCAGTTTGTTAGAAATGCTTTTCGTAATTTGTCACGTCTTTCAACCATCACATAGAAGCACTGACTTGACTGAATTAGTGTTGAAAATCCGAATGTAGTTTTTTAAGCTGAGTGCAGTCGATCTCCACACTGGTTTCAGATTAATGAAGGCCTGTCTTGCTTTTCCGATCCTGGCTTTGACATCCTCATCTGTGCTGCCGCATGTAGTTGAAACGAAGTTGTCTAGTCTAGGTAGGTAGTTGAAAGAGGCAACTTGCCAAAGGTTTCTCCCGTTGATGGTGATTGGTGCTTGTTGTTGCTTGTGTATCGTCATCACCTCTGTCTTCTCTACGTTCACCTGAAGGAAGTCCTGTCTTCACCGTTTCTCCTCTTCTGCCAACCTGTTGGTTTTAGCCTGTAGATCTCCGAGTTTGTGTGACAAGATATTAGACGTATATCATCATTGGCGAAATCCAAATCTTCTAGGATCTTTTCATCGGCCCAGCCAGCGTATACCCCTCATCTTTCTCCTCACGGTTCTCTGCATGATCCAGTCCAGTCGACCACAATCAGGAAGATCATTGGTGATAGTAGGCAGAAACCATATCTTACTCCTGTCTTCTTTTGTGAATCACTTGGCATGTAGCATCATCATCATATAGCTGTTGAATGAGGTTGATAAAGGTTTGTGGCAGTAAAATCATATTGTTGAAGCAGCTGCCTGCAAAAATTACTTTTCGGTTGGCGTTATCGAAGGTCTGTTCAAAACCGATGAATTTGAGGCAAAGCTGCAGTTGACTGCCATTCTTCTAATCTGATTAGTTGAGCTTAGATAAAGTACCTACATTTCGATTGCCTTATAAAACCATTACTTGTCACATAAATTCTGTTTTAAAAAATAATTGTCTTCAGATTACAATTAAATCCAAAATAAATTTAAAATTTGTCGAGAATTTAATTCTGTAGTGACAATGTCGTGTAATATTTCAGGGAGCCTGTTTCAAAATGAATTTAGTGTAATTGTCGTTATGATGATTGTAATTTCCCGTTGATATATAGGGCTGAATTGCTCGACCTCTAATGGTATATGGGCTCCTATGCGGATACCTTGATACTACTGCTGATTGATGATGTAACGTCGATCTCGATGACTAACAGAGGACCCCAAAACTGGTGTTTTTTCTGTTTGGTACTCGGGTTAATGAATAAGGCTCTATCTGTTTAAGCGATGGGTACTGAATTTGATCCACAGTGGGAACCATATCACTGACTGGAGTCGTGCTACATTCAGCTGACGAGTCCCGAGTAGGACGAAGCGCTCGTCCTGGTAGTTGCTGAGATCAATATGTATTGAGTGTAATTTCTAACTGTAACTGAGGTTTGCAGAAAAATCTAAATCTTAAATGTATTAACAGGAAGTTTGCACATAATGATAAGTTCTTATTTTGGTAATAATTGGAATAAAATTACTGCCCGTGATCACACCAACAGTAGGAATATTTTCCTAATAATTTACTTAAATGAAAGCTTACCATTGTTTTTACACTTTTCATTTGAAATGTACTTATAATATGTTATTCCATTCGGCAATATGCAATCTTTTCATCGATATATTTAAATCCTTGTAGGAATACACTGCTATATTGCATAAGGTGCATTTTTACGTGTATAATCCCGGCGTGATGTATTCGAACAAAAAACAAAATAAACAAATATTTTGTATTAATCCTCAACGTTTAAATCTTGCTAGGAAGATCCTTTTCAAGAGTATGAATCTGACATTGGCAGAGATTACACAAGTAAAAATACACCTTATACAATGGATCATACTAACTTGGTGCCCAAGTTTTTTTCAAACCATCTAGTCCATTGTTGGTCAGGATACCTTCAATACACTGCTAGCTGTAATTTTGAGGATAATCTTGGTGAGAAACTGATTACTGTGCCTTGGTAGTTCTGACCACCATTAAGGTGGTCTTCAAAAATAGGTACTAACTGAGTAATTACGTTCATATGTGCAAACTTTACAAAGTATCTCTGTGTTTGCCTCAAAATTGCTACTATGTACTCTGCATTTCGAAACTTTTTATTGACAGTGGAATTGCTGTTCATCGTTAAAAAATGGTAAAACTGCCATCTAAAGTTGGGCTCCAGATGGGAGGAGGGATGCAGTTGATTGTGGAGTGTAGTTTTGTACAGGTACATTGTGCTACTGAAACTTGGAATCCCCCTGTGATGTTTCTTGCAGTGAATTCTTCTGAATGATTATCAGTGGAAACAGCAATTTGCATGTTCCTTTTAATAAGTGAACATGCAGCAGGCGTTAGGTTACTGACTCGAGAAGCGAAGACAATATGGTCACCCAGCTCACATTTATTGTTGCAATTTCACAGCAGTTTCTGAATGCGCCCCTGAATCCAGTAACCGCTACTCAGTATAAGGCTTAGTATTGCACGACGTACTGGCATTTTCATGGTCAGCATATGCAGCTTCAACGTATGATGTGTGGTTTCGATGAAGTTGGTGTTATTTTGTTCCAAAAGAATGCTTAGTGGACGGTAAGCAGCAGCTTACTTGTGCTCACGAGGTAAGAGACTAAGTACCTGTGAAACGTTGTATCCAGAGTCTCTATTTGAACAAGACAATTTTTGAAGCTACAAAAAAATGATACACTAAAAGATATTAACCTCACTATATCCTTTGTGTACAGCGGCACCTCCTGTTGTAATCTCTGCAAACATTACAATTTTCACTGTTGTTTTGTACACAAGCTTACCCTTTTTATCACGTTGCGAATGATGTGCGCACAACACAGGAGGAGTCATCTGTTATGAAAGCACTCACTCTGCGGCTTCCAATAATATTATTAAAAGACCTCAGAAATGCATCAATCAGCTCTGATGTCTCACTGATTATAAAAGCAAAAGCTATAGGAATAGCCATGAAGTTGGTGTCGATGGCTACTAACTCGTAGAGAAAAAGGTTCTCATTATTAGCCTTGTAAGTGCCATCGAGACCCAGCAGATCAAGACAGTTTTCAGCTAATTCCAGCTGATCGGCTGTAGCGAAAAAAAATGATTTCAGATTTCCATACTCTGTGACAGAGAAGGATCCACCTTAACTGATTAAATGCGCCTGCAACTTTTCATAACTGCCTACAACAACATCGTTACAAGGGAAATCTCAATTACCGGTCAAATTACATTTAACGAAGAGGCGATAGCGCATATTGAACACATCTTGACTATTCAATCTTTTACCATAGTGTGCATAGACGAAATCAACAACATTAAATGCAGCCGTTCCGGATATCAGCAACGGCCTTATGCTCTCCAATTCAGCTCCTGTCAGCTTACGCGTCCAAGAACTATTGTCATAAAGCAATGAATTGCAGGGATGATTGTGAGTTAACAGCCACCGAGTTACTGTCCAAAAACCTTCTAGGAACTTCGCGAGCACGAACGCCGGACAAGAACATTTCAGAGATATTCTATAAAGTAAATAATGAAAACAAACAGAACTGACCTTCTTGTCACTACACCAACTACTGACCGGCGTTCACTAGCCTTATAGCAGACAAACTTAACGTAAGCTCTTCGGTCACTTTGAAAATGTGAATCTTGCACAACGTAGTGTGTGTACGTCTGTTTCTCTTATTCCTTCAGGGTGACCTTCAAAGATTCTAAGGACGGAAATGCGGCAAGACAAAAACGCTCCATAAACATCGATTCATTTTTGGTTACAACACTTTGGACGGTATCGTCGCTCATCATGAAAACGAATCAACCCATCCACACTTTGCTCCCCTTTTATAGTACCTTTCGATTTCGTGCAACCAATAACATAGGACATTTCATCCTCTCTTTAAATTGGACAACAAGTGACTCAGGGAGTGAGGGGGAAGGGATATAAACTAACATTTAGAAAAAATTATTACCGTGGACCAAATGTATTTCATTATATATTGTTGAGCAGCACCATGTTTAATGTATATTTGAAAAACATTGTACAGTGGGTAAATTTATGTAATATCACATGCTGACAATTCTATACTGTAAACATAATTATGGTTCAGAATAAACCCAATATATTATTATCATTACTAGATGATTTACTAAGTCAATTCTTACAGATGATAAATCACTGAGTCAAAATTTTGATATTGTATTCTACAAAATACTTATCGCTCATTCAAACGTAACTTGGTGTTATTTTCATAGTTTGAAGAATTTCGATAGTCTAAGTGGAATTGCTGGAAAGTTCAACGATCGGTTTTAAGATTAGATGCAATTTTATCGGTTTTGTATCTGGGTTTCCTTGTAACACACAGTAACGTTACAATAATGACTTGTATTGGGAAGTAACGCATTTAGAAGTTTCCGTTATTTTTATAAGATCATTGTTAGGATTTCATATTGCAGTGTATGCGATATTTACCGTTGCCTAATTTTATTGTACATCCAATATTTTCGTACAACCAAGAGTGTGGTTTATGTGTTCATCATTTACTGTTTTCAGACTTGCTCTCCATTATGATATATACCTACTGTATAATCATGAACAATATCATTTACTTACCCAAGTGCATGTGGTTGGTAGTTTGATATATGACCCACTATCACAGTTCTGCCATAAATAAATATCCTACATGTAATATCACATTTTTATTTCTTTTAAAGTGATAACAATACATCTTACTTGTTTTGTTGCTGTGTTCCACTGTTTTCTTTCCACTTAGTATCCCAAATATAATTTTACTTCGTAAATGTAATCACTTTTTTGTGCAGAGGTTACGTTGACACTATGTTAACTGTTTAATCATTTAAGATTTTATGATAATTTTAATTTTCCATATCAGGATGATGGTTTTTATAACACACCAGTGTATCATACAGCGTACGATATTGTTGATGTGGCAGAACGATTCACTGATCCTGCTTCACCAGTTACAGGCCATTTCCCTCGACATCGATTGATTACTCGTTTAATCTTGACTCTGATAATTCAATTGGCTTGTTCCCCTCGATTACCACTATCTCCATTGAGGTTATCACAGTGCTTATTGGATGACTGGTCAAAATTTACGGAGTTGGTAGCAGGTCAAATACCCGATATGATAAAATATGGTGTGAATTTAGGTAATATGCGTGGATTGTCTTAATATGTTTGGGAATTTTTGTTTTTGAACGATCTGAAGTTTCATCACTTTTTTGATAAAAATGTAAGCTGGTGTTGTGGTATCTTATCTAGTTTTTGTAGTTTTCTGGTTCCTGAGAAGTGAATTGTTTCATTACGAAACTACTACATTGCAGAATAAAAACGTACCTACTTTAGGTTAATTTATCTTGGATGTTGTGCAGTTTTGTTTTTCACACTTTCGATGGGTATTAATTTATTTGGAAGTTAATTCCTCTCGAAGTTTCGAGTCGCAAAGTTCAGTAACTAGATCATATTGGATATTCTCGTAACTGTAGTAACCTGGCCTTCACAGGCTTCACTACTGAAACATTCTCGGATGGATTTTGTAGAATATCATCAGTTTTCTGAGTTAGTCAACGTACACTTTCTTTGTATTGCTTTCCCTATTAAATTATTTCTCTCCATATTTTTCCTTTCGAAGTTTGGGTTACAGAAGAACTTGAAAAGTTTCATAAGTCATGTCAAGATTTTGAAAAATTCGCAAATACTGCAGAACAAAGTCGTGACGAGTAAGTTTCTGAGTGATTTTATTTCAAAGTAGTCGTAATTTAAGATAGTTGAATCTCTGTTCGTAATTCACTTGCCACTTTCACTGACTTGAAATCATGAACTTCATGAAGTAGTTCCATTGATAAAATTTCAATTCAAAATGAAATCGGTCGATTATTTGCCTCCACCTTGTAGATGGGAAATAATTACCACAGGTTACGTAGCTGTAAGGTACCAGAGCTTGGAGAGTGAGGTGAGCAGAGTTCAAATAAAGTATTTAGGTTTGAAACAGAACAAAGTATGCAAGACAGAATGACACGATGAAATATACAGGGTAAAGTGACAGCAAAAGTTCGCATACATTCTATTGTAACCAAACTACCATGATAGTACGACGTTGATAACTGTACCTTTTCGAAGACATAGATTTGGTTTCAGTCTCTTAATGGCTATCGTTTCGGCTACATGTAATAGGCTTGAGTTCTTTTGACTATTGATCAATTTGTGACTATCAACACTGTGTCCGCTATCAACCAGATGACACGCAACTGCACTATCCAGTGCTTATGGACACCTTGATCTTAGATTCTTGAGGATGGAGTCAGAAATGTGGACGAAAACCCTCCTTTCTATTCCTCCAATGTATGTGCTGTACTACGTAAGTGTAAATTAGTAGATGGAGTTGGGAACAGTATGAAGTGGGAATTTATCCACTGTCGTTTGCCACAACAAACGATTCGTCTAGTGTAAACAGATCACAATGGCAGATGGATACGGTCTATTCAGTCTGGCACTCAATCGACACTGTATCCTTACAGAAACCTCTTCACCCTTAAAAGTAAGTTGTTAGAAACCAGGTTTTTTATTTTCTGCAGTTCATTCTCTACATATTAGACTTTCTGTATTTATCAGAGAGTTTTTGCAGATAGTCATTATCACGTAATTACTTCTCAACAACGGATAACTCCAAATTTGCTTCCGTGCACAGTTCTTTCGTGTGGTTAAATAGCGTTTCAACCATCCCTTTTTTGTAGCTGATACTGAATATGTTGAAGTTCAAATAAAGTTCACTCTAAGTTTACTGTCTATGAATCTACCTTTGAATTTCCCCATGTATATCTCATTCAACTCGAAGGTCCAGGAAATGAAACTTATTGTTATGCTGATACTCGATTGTAAACAGCGTTGTGAAGATTTTGCAAATGAGATACGTCATTAGGGTAAAACATTGTTTGCCCTCAGTGTGAAGTTTTCAGTTTTGCACACCTCTCTCCATCCATCCATCTAGATCAACCTAGGACCAGGCATTACTGCGTAACGGTCAGAGTTGCCACACCTCATATCAGTTCATCAAGTAAAAGGGCAGTGAGGCGCAAGATGAAGGTAAGAGAATGCAGTCAAAAGAAATATAAAGTACAAAAAGGGAGAAACGAAGTATGATAAAATGATGATATTTGGGAAAGCGTTGTTAAGATGAGTATAATGTATGTATACATCTGCGCCCCTGACATCGGTTTTGAGCCATATGCTCACCTAGAGTCTCCAAACTTCCAGGGCGTTCGATTAATGCGACTGGTATGTTGTCTTTCAGTTCCTTGACTATATCCAGTGTTTACAGTTTGCAAACTCATTTGCTTTTGAATACAACGAAAATATATGCTGATAGTAGTGATCGTTTTCACTGCTGATTTTGATGACAGATAGCCTCGATTAAACATTCGATGAGCGAATCTCAAAGTAATCTATATATATTGCATAGAGGTAAAATTAAGATAGAATAATAAAGGTCGATACATTTCAACAACCACTTGGTGATTTGTGTATTAGACAATGCGACATACTGTGTAAGGATGGTTATATTAGACGATTCCGGAGATGATTGACTACTGAATTCAAGCGCTTGAACTAATGAACCACACCTTATTAAAAACTTAACCATTAACTGTGTATGTAATAGTTGCCATCAATTACTTTGGAATTCTAAAATGAGCTCTGTAGGTTAGAAACAGTTTGAAAATATTCTAATACACTTCGTGTATGGCTGTTACCACGAACCCTATTATATGGTTGAACAAAACAATTATTTTCCGCAATGTAAGGTCAATCGGTGCATTTTAAACGATAGGCTCTGCTGTTCACAGCCTTTAGGTTATTGTAATCAGTCAATGGAAAAAAAACTACATATCCCTTAATTTTCTGCTCACTGGTAATAATTTCACTAAAACTTTGTGCATTTGATATAATCTATGAAGTAAGGTGAATTAATCTCTAATTGCAAATGGCTTTTTTGATTGTGTTCGAATTTATCAGAAAGACAAAATGTACTATGTTGAATTGCGGTGTTTCATTGTTTTCACGTCATTGCATTGCGTGTGTTTTGTAAAGTGAATTGTTCAGTGATATGTCATAGTGTGCTGTAGCACTGTTTTTTTTGTAGGTCAACAGATGCAGTATTGTTGCCTATTCATTTGATTATTTCTTTCTGAACTAACTAATGGCATTGCTAAGTTTTATCTCGGAAAAGATGAGCAAGACACCTTGAGGTTTTTATTCATTATTAGTAGCTTTTTAGTGAACAATTTTGTATTTGGTTTGTGTGTGACTCAGATGTAGGTTATATTTATTTGCGTAAGTCACACCGTGTTCTTAATAAAGTTTTTTTAAAGGAAATGTATGTATATGCAAATCGTTGAAATTATTTTATTCCAAACATGCTGACGTACACAACGTTTTCTCGGCGCCCGATATTTTAGACACTATTTGATCAGTTCTTGATCCCTTTTTCTGAATTTCAGGTTTCCATCCTACCTCAATCGTATACTTACTGGTATAAATAAACACTTTGTAGCTGCCAGCCAATTTGTAAAAGCACCTTTGAAAAACGTCATCCAGGGGCCTAGTGGTTATGGGTCAGTGTATTTCCCGCATGTGAAATCCTCCTATGAGAACTTCAGAAGTTTATACACCGAGCGCAAAGCAGAAATCATCCATTCGGGAGAACTAAACGAATTCAAATTAGAACTATCAAATATTGTTAACTGTTTGCAGCAGCTTTGTCATTGGCTCCAAAATGGCTTAATCGGTCCACATACTCCTTCAATAATTTAGTATGACTTCACAATTATGTATAATGATGCACTATAAATTCGATTATCTTTTCGTTTCTTTTGTGACAGTTTTCTTACTGATTGACTTCTGCCTGTCATGTGCAATATACATATTAGCCTTTCTGTTATTTTTTCATAGCCACAAAACTAGTGCTGGTTTGAATCTTAGATGGGTCATCAGTTCCGTTCAAGTAGCAGATACTCCCTACTGAAGAGTGCCAAAAAGTACGAAACCTAGGTCAAACAAAGCGTCTTGGTGAACGCCCCCACCTAACTAGCATCTGCCTCAGTGCATCGCTTTGGTCAGTCTCGTAGCTTGGTGCCCACAATGCAAAGTAATCGATCGAATTCGATCATTTCTTATGACTGGACAACATGAAGTTGGTCATCCTGCAGTGACTGATCAACGTATTTGTGATATATTGGTCGGAATTCTTGTCCGTTGAGATCCTACCATGCCAAGAGCTCCATTTAGACAACAAAAAATCGTTAGCAGCTGATTCCAGGTTGGAGTACTACATATATACTAACTGACTTGCATGGAATCTGTTAATTAAAGTCTGTTATAATCTTAAAAGCAGTAACAGTAAACATTGTGTGTTCGAGCGAATCAATGTGTTATCAGCTTGATACTTTACTAATTTCAGAATTGTAACACCGACTCCAGTGTATTATTTTGGAATCAACAACTATGCAATCCATCCAAATTATGTGGGAACAGAAAGCTGTTTTTCGATATAAAATTGTATACATGCTTCTTGGTAACAGCTAACTCAAATGCCGGACAGAAAATAGAGCGAAAGAAAACTATTTTGTTGTTAAACTTTATTGTTTCTGAAAGAGCCGAAGATAACCCTCAACATGTGTGCATATATATGCATGAAATGTGACATTGTCCAGAATTTGGAACATCAACGTTGAAAAAAGTGTCAACTAATCAGCGATTTACGCTGGAAAAAAAGGGGGAATCGAACTACTGGCTATGTCGGGAAAAAATCGCGAAAACGGAAACACAAATTGTTAAATAAATAATTGATGTATTTATGTAATTCAGGGTTTTCCAAGCGCAGAATGAGCGAGGAAGCTCATGATCTGATTAAAACACGTGACACATTCAGACTATTATCGCGGTGATAAATCATATTATAAAACTTAACAGTCAACACAAAAAACTATACAGACGATTCCCATTCTAAAATTTAGAAAACAACTAGTCGAACGAGAAAATAATTTTTTTCACTTAGGTTCACATCGTTAACTCGGCTCTAATATATATGAGTTTCTTTTAACAATACAATATGATTAGCAATCTGATGGTGTTGAGAGAGTAATGTAGAAATTATACTAGTATTCTTCAGGTTGAGACTCATAATTATTGAAGTTGTAGCGTGTTCTGATGTTCCACTTTACTAAACAGTGGTTTTTTTGCATATTCTCTAGTAGGACACTCTCCAACCCTTATCAGCTTCCACTTTGTTTAGTACTTTAGGTGCGCCTCATTTAACATTGTGATATTACGTCACCTCGTTTATAAATATCAACATCCCTCATAGTATTCAACAGGAAGCGAACTTCGAGGTCACTTGGAATTGTCGAACCAACTGTCGTCCGACGAATTCATTCTGAATATGTTGAAAAGTGAACAGTTACTAATTTATTACTGTTCTAGCTATTGATAACAACTCGTCCGGAAATCCATCTTTTTTTCCGGCTAGATAGGATGCAGCAGCAGTGAGGTGTTTCCGCAGACGACCAGCAGTCCATTTTGATCCTTTCTCTTTAGAAAATGCCATTCTTAAAATTGTCTCACTCTTCATTGCCCTACGGTATTGCATTGCTGGTGCTTTCAGTGCCTAACTGGATTCAACTGAGTCAAAACTAAAACTTCAATAGGTCATGTGTGACAGACCTCAAGAAGATATTCTTTGTGACCACTCAACACAGACCAATATACTCGTTCAAGTACCTAACAGAAAATAATTTCATTGTGTGAGCAGTCGAGAAGTTCCAATCGTCTGTACGCCTAAAGCAGCATATAAAACCTAAATTATCACAAATAACCCTCCTTACTTTCATCTTCTTCACTTCCAGATGCGAAGACAACCTACTAATAGATCCCTCAACTTGTCATCTTGCCACCATTGCATTCGATTCACAGCAACAAAACACCATTCATAGTCTCTTAGACACTGCCGATTTCACCTTTAAGTTTCTGAAGTTTGAAACTTATGCCAAAATGGAAAAGTATGGTTATTCACTTGACTTTACATAGAAAATGCGGTGAATCTGGAGAATTCACTTTAATAGTATCTGGAGATTCAATCGCTGGCTCCCATGGACTAACGGGTACAGGCGTCCGACTAGGTTGTAAAACGAATAGCATAATCCTCAGGTGTATACCAGTCAATATTCGTCTATATGTTTTCCGACTGCATGGGTCTGTGAGAAATATGAAGGATTGTGCAGTTTGCCAACATCTATTTGTGATCTCCACTTACGCCCCCACCGATCGCAGTTTAAAGGATTCCTGGAATGAATTCTGACAACAGACATCAATGTTGCTACATAGAGCAAAACATTCAGAAACAGTGGCAATTGAGGGTGACTTTAACGCTTTGATAGAGAAGCTGAAGCAATTAGATAGGTGTGATGGAGGTATGCGTGATATCCTATGAGGAAAAAGTTCATGGTCTCTTGGAATTTTGTTCTGATAGTCACTTGTTTCTAGCCAACCTTAATTATTTATTTTTATTGTTTTTCGCTTGGGTTCCTAGTGGAACATTAGGGCTTCAGTAGCACGTCACCATTTCACTCTATTCTCTGCAGTCCTATTCATCTCGCTCCACAACTGCCCACAAGCTTTCATTTCTTCCTCACACCATCTCCATGTCACCCTCACTTGGGACGCGCAACTTTTCGTTTCCCCTTTTAGGTTCCACTCGCGGGCCTGACCTGGTGCGTGTTGTCGCCGAATTGTTTTCTCAGTGTATGTCTAGTCCATCTCCACTTCCTTCTGAATACTTGTTGGGTGATAGGTTCTTGGTTGGTTCGTTGCCAGCCAGCCAGAGTTCCTTGTTGCTTATTCTTTCTGGCCACGTAATCTTCAGCATCGAGGGAGCGTAGGTGGGAGCTGTTGATGTATGTCTGCAGTTTGTTAGAAATGCTTTTCGTAATTTGTCACGTCTTTCAACCATCACATAGAAGCACTGACTTGACTGAATTAGTGTTGAAAATCCGCATGTAGTTTTTTAAGCTGAGTGCAGTCGATCTCCACACTGGTTTCAGATTAATGAAGGCCTGTCTTGCTTTTCCGATCCTGGCTTTGACATCCTCATCTGTGCTGCCGCCTGTAGTTGAAACGAAGTTGTCTAGTCTAGGTAGGTAGTTGAAAGAGGCAACTTGCCAAAGGTTTCTCCCGTTGATGGTGATTGGTGCTTGTTGTTGCTTGTGTATCGTCATCACCTCTGTCTTCTCTACGTTCACCTGAAGGAAGTCCTGTCTTCACCGTTTCTCCTCTTCTGCCAACCTGTTGGTTTTAGCCTGTAGATCATCGAGTTTTTGTGACAAGATATTAGACGTATATCATCATTGGCGAAATCCAAATCTTCTAGGGTCTTTTCATCGGCCCAGCCAGCGTATACCCCTCATCTTTCTCCTCACGGTTCTCTGCGTGATCCAGTCCAGTCGACCACAATCAGGAAGATCATTGGTGATAGTAGGCAGAAACCATATCTTACTCCTGTGTTCTTTTGTGAATCACTTGGCATGTAGCATCTTCATCATCATCATCATATAGCTGTTGAATGAGGTTGATAAAGGTTTGTGGCAGTAAAATCATATTGTTGAAGCAGCTGCCTGCAAAAATTACTTTTCGGTTGGCGTTATCGAAGGTCTGTTGAAAACCGATGAATTTGAGGCAAAGCTGCAGTTGACTGCCATTCTTTACCCTGTTCTATGGTGATGCTTAGGGTAGCGTTGTAATTTGATCCGCACACGATTTTTTCTTTCTGAATCCAGTCAGTCTGCTGCGGTCGTAATCCGTTTAAATCCAGCGCGTCTTTTAGTCTTTCCTGGATGACGCTACATGATATTTTGCCTGGGGTGGATATGGGTATGATTCTTTTCCAGTTTTTGCAAAGACTTAGGTCTCCCTTCTCTTGAAGTTTGACCAGGTAGGCCTTCTTCCAATGTTGTGGTACCTTTCCTTTCCTCCTTCCTTCCTTACAAACCTGCAATAGTGGTATGAGCATGTCGGCTGTTGTCTCTGCGTCTGTTGTCAGTGTTTCTAGCGGACTTCCGTGTGGTCGTGCTGTTCTACCGGATTCCAGCAACTTCATGGCGTTCACGACTTAGGCTTTATGTTGGAGGGTTTTTGTTCACTTTTATTTCTTTGGCAGCTGGTGGTATTTCTGGATGAGTTCGAGGTGGTGATGGTGGTCGATTCGAGAGTTTTTTGAAGTGGTCAGCCCATCGTTTTCATCCTATCTCCTCTTCGGTGTTAACTAAGTTTCCTTCACCATCTTCATTGGTCTTATCTTCGTTGATATCTTCTCAGATAGTATTTTGGTTATTTGATGTAGTGTTTTTAGGTCTATCTTACCAGCCTGCATCCTGTTCTGCTTCAGTTGCCAGCGTGTTGTAGAAGTGTCTTTTGTCTTTGCTCGCACTCTTCTTCACTTTTTTGTCCAGTGTGGTGCTTTGTAGATTGTATTCGGTTCCCCTTTTCGTTGTTCATCTTTGCACTGCACTGCACTTCACTGGTTCATCTTCTGCTTCACCATATCCTCTCCTCTCCTCTATCAGCTTCTGTGTGTCTATCGAGATTCATTCCTTATCCTGTTTCTTCTTCCTTACACGGTTATACAGATTTCCTTCCAAATCTCTTTCAAAAAATCCCAGCGTTCTTCCAAACAGTCGAATCCATGTCGCTGCTTTGTGAATATCTTTATGTTTGTACACACTGCCTCGCCAATCACCAAATCGTTGAATGCGCAGAAATCAGCAAACAGTGGTCCGTTCTAATTCATTTCATGATATGCTTTTCGACTCATGATCAGTTCTCTTCCAGTGTTATCTGCTCCCATTTTGGCATTCTTTTCGCCCATCGGAACTTTGATGTTGCC